ATCAATCAAACACTGCTATTACTCCATCTAGTTATGAGAAAAAGACTATTATCTGTATTTGGAATTGACTTTTATAAAAAGGAATCATGGGCATAACATGGAGGAATTCAAGAAGGTGGTCCATAATGACATTGTGATTATAACATCTTATTATGTTATTGCTCTTGACGTTAGACAGGACATGTCATATAAAAAACCTTGCTAAAATAGTTAGTTTTAGGTAAATTACATTTTACACCTTATTTCGGGTTTTGATCGTATTTTATCTCTTCGACTGTTGAATTTTTCATATTATTCGTTCAAACTACTCGAGATTGTGGATTTGCACCACGTGCATTTGATTTTCAACGCATAATGAAACAATTTCATATAATTTGGGGGACAGAATTATGCAATTTTTTTTTCTCATTTTGTAGCGGTTGTTTCAAATCGAAATAAAATAAAAACCAATCATCATAAGTATTCAATTTGAGAAATGCCACAGTAGAAGAAATAATGTGAAACATAAGAAGCATTTAAGAGAGTCAAAGTGTAATATTCTTTATTTATTTCTTTACCAATCAATTCTGCTTTCTGAATCCAATTAGAGTCCATTATCAAGAAACTAGCAATAGCTAAACAAACTATACAAATATTAAAAATCAAACTAATTTTCAAATTTGTTTGTATTTTAAATAATAATTTTTTAAATACGTAATATAAAATTAAAATGAAGAGAGAGATAGGTGTGGATTGATAAGATTATTTCACAGTGTGGAGTGTGTTGATTGAATTATTTGACATTGGTAGGGGTGGTAATCGTATTGTGTTTGTGTCGCGTTATTTTGGGTTCTTGTGGACCACTAGTCAACCCTAACCTAACTCGTTTAATTATTCGTGTCGATCTATTTATTTTTGTGTCGTATTCATATTGACTCATATAATCCGTAAATAAAAAAAATAACGCTTAGTTTTATTTCTAAAATTTCATTTTCACTTAATTGAAGTAATACTCGTAGTTTTTCTATAAACTAAATATTAATTTAATAAATATAATAATTAACATAAGTAAAAATATCTTTTTTTTTACAAGAATTAGATCATTACTTAATAAAATATAATAAAAAATTGACATTTTATTCTTATAATACTACTTAAACATGTTAATCGTATCAATTTCGTGTTGTTTGTGTTTGACACTAATCCAACCCATTTATTATTTGTGTTAACAGATCGTGTCAAATACGTGTTCGTGTCAACAAATAATTAACCCTAAACTACTAATTTTGCGTCGATTTCGAGTCATACTTTTATATTATATCAGAAATTGTCACCCCTAGTCATCGGGGGTCATGATGAGAAGTTAATATTTTTGGGTGAGAAAAATTTGTTTAGAATGAATTTTATATGATTAAATCAAAATAGATGAAACTTTGATCAATCTTAAACGTTGTTGTCCTTTTATTGGTGGAAAATTCAAAATGCATTATTAAATAGGTAAGTTTCATTGTCATACATTTTATATATAATTTATCATTCAAGGAAATTGAAGAAAAGTGAGTTAGAGGCATAAGATGCCAACAACAATACCAGAAAATAAATATATATTTATGTGTGTGGGGGTGATTTTACATTGACCGAATCACTGTTACCTGACAACAACAATTGCATTTATTACATCTTCTCTTAATAATTATATTTGTTGTTGTCGTTGTCATGAAAATGTGATCAAGATTTTCTTCAACTATATCTATATATATTTAATTTCTTTGTTGATGGGTCATCCATAATTATTAATGATGGACCCACTTATATATAATATGTCCCACTTCAATACATCAAGAATTAAATTGAAAAAAAATATATATTGGACAAGATCTTATTATTTGAAAATAAACATCCCGATTGATAAATCGTAGTACTCTTTTAACTATTTCCACAACTTTTACTTAATGTTTCATTTTAAGAATGTTCCTCGGGTGATAAAATGGAGTTTTCCACCGTTTAAAAGCCTTTATGGTCACCACCCCAGATGCCGAATCTGCCAAATAAATCAATCGTACCCTTTGAATCTGTGGATTTGTGCCAAATTTGTTCTAAAATTACGGATTCATGATTCGAGTGCATGATTCGAGTGCAAAATCGTTGAGCAATGTGGACGAATCGTGTGATCTAGGTTGGCACCCAAAAAAAAAGATTATGGCCCAAAAAGCCCAACAGAACAAAACATTCAAAAGCTTTTAATAAATGCAATAAAAAAAAAAAAAAGAAAAAGCAAAACAGAAGCTTTGAATATTGGGGAATGACCCATTTAAGGACCTTGGATCTTCAAAATGAAAAAGGCAAAGACAAATATCCCCAGGGGTCCAACATTCAAACTTAGGTATTTGCTCTGAATATTCAAAAATCCATTTTTTTTCACCAGTAGCATAATAGAGTTAGGGGGTTCAATTATCGAGAAATTATTTTTCGGTATCATATCTCTAATTTTTGGTCTAAAAAATAAGAGGTACCATAAATTTATCCTAGAGTCTGTTAAAAAACGTATAGGTATCTACATAAATCAAATTGAATTATATTGGGTGAAAATTGAGTTTTAGAGTCCTAATTTGATTTAAATAATTTAAAACTAACTCTTATTCACTTGTAAAATTTGGTACCCAAATCGATTATGTAATATTACCCATATATAATTACTTATCACAACGGTAAATATTACGAATTGTGAAAGAGACTAGTGTCTTTACATGGTCGTAATTTTTTATTTTTCTTGGTAACTACATGGTAGTAATTTTTCAAATTCTTGATTACTATTAATAGAATAAATTTTAACTTTTGATCTCATTCATCCTATAAAATTTCATATTTATATTTAACTAAGGAAAAATTACTCATTAACCTCCTCAATTATGTTTTTATCTCACATTATCCCTTCAACTATCACGTTTCTTATATTATACATTCAACTATGGTTATTAGTCCCAAATTGATCCTTCAACTATCACTTTTCTGCATTGTCTCAAACTAGGGTTATTTATCTCACATGACCTCAATTTCAATATTAAAAACATGCATTTTTTTTTTCACATGTGGACATTTTTTCTCTAATAAATGAGGGATAATAAATTTTTGAAAACAACGCAAAATTATTTCAAATAGTTGAGAGGATAATATAAAAAATAATAGAGAGGACAAAATAAAATTATGATTATAGGTGCATGGTTCAAAGCATAATTTGTCATTTAATACCGATGATATCGTCTCTATTACATATTTTTTCCAATTTCTTTCTTGGTGGATCACAAATTATGCATTGAAGCGAAACCCATTGTCTACAAATGGATATTTTCACCTGTTAATAGTGGACAAATCATTAAGAAAACAATTATACTTTGTTTGGTACAATAAAAAAATAAATGGATAAAAAGTTAAAAAAATAAAAAATTAGAGGGATAAGGATAAAAAATTAAAAAGAATTAACTTTTCTTCCGACTCATAAACTTCAAGTGGATAGAAAATTAATTATGTGTATTGAAATATATGCTATTTGTCTATATATCATTTGATGTATGTATATATTATATTTATAAATTATATATTATATACATTAACTAGCGATACCCCGTGACTGAAGTCACTCAATATTAAACTATGATACTATGCATGTATTGGAGTGTGTGTATACAACTGGAGTGTATAGATAATGTGTGTGTGTAGTGAGTGTGTATTGAAGTATGTGTAACTATGTGTTGTGGAATATTTGTGTTGAGTTTGTGAAATTTGGGAGGGAAAGTGTGTGAAATTTGGAGGAAAAAATATACTCCCATAAGTTCAAATACCTAGCTATCTTATTATATAGATTTTATGCATAAATATCATGGTAAAATACATATTTGTACTTTTTTCATTCTTTTATTTTTTTATCCTACCAAATATAAAAAAAATCAATCTTTTCTATTTTCTATCTCTCTCACCTAACACAAAAAAAAAAAAAAAAGAATTTCTCTTTTAAAGATAAAAAATAAATATAATATTATTTTTACTTTTTATTCTTTAATTTTTTATCCATCTTATCAAACACACAGATGAAACAATGTACGGAGTCTACCGACGGACCATAAGAAGGATATTTCTCCATTGGAATTGGTCCCCATTCTTCATTGGGGCCAAAGACTTCATACTATAGTTTTTTATTTCCAAATCTGCAACCTGAAACTGGGCGTCATGCATAGATATGAATCTAATGGGTAAGAAAGCAGGGACATCCACATGGCCTAGCTGGACAAACAGATAGCTGTTAATTTGAAGAAATGCAATGAGTAGGTTTAAAGCCGAAAAAAGGTCTAAAGCCAAAGGCCCACATGTAAATGCCAATGGCCTGCTTTCAGAGCTGCCATTTATTACCCATGTTTTAGTTTTTTTCAAGTTCCTTTTTGACAGATGGGTCTTGCACTTCATTGCACTTTCAGACATTTTAATATATGAGAGAGAGAAAGAGGGAGTTGTCTCATTTTAATATATGAAAGAGACAGTTTTCTCTACTTTGTGCTCTGTTTTTTTTTTTTAATGGGTATGAGAGCTTTTGGTTTCCCTGTGGGATATAGGGTTGAATTTTGGAATCTTACGGTGGTTTGAGGAGGAAGTGGCTTTGAGTCAGAACAGTTGGAAAGCATTTTTGTTTTTGTGGGTTGGAATTTGGAGGGGTTGACCTGAGCTTGTGCCTGATTGAGGAATCTTAGGTTGTGGTAAGGTGGTTTTGGACTGAGATTTGCTTCTCTGTTGAAGTGGGTGTTTCCTGTTGGAGTTGTTTCTGGCACAGGGAAGCTTTTGAGGTGCTTGTTCAGTATTTTGGTGGATTAAGTGTAATTTTGGCCAAAAGGTGAGACCTTGTGAACTGGGTGTCTGCAATTTTCTGTTCTCTCAGCTCATTTAGGTGCAGTTTCAAGGATCTGAATGGTTCTGCGAGAAATTTTTGGATCAGTTTTTCAGGGGAGTTTGGTGTGAGAAGTGGCGTCTAAGGGCGCAGAACTGTTGGATTTGTGTTTTCTGGTGTGATTCTGGTCTGATTTATGAAGTTGAATTGGGGTTTTTTTGGAGTGATAAAGGGTTTATAGAGGTTGTTGGTTCTCACATTAGCTTTTGCTGTTTCCTGAAAGCTTATTTTTGCAGCTGCATCTGGTTTGCATTGTGGAAGTATGGCTTGTATGAAGTTAGGATCCAAAACTGATGCATTTCAAAGGCAAGGGCAGGCTTGGTATGTTCCTTGATCTCTGGAACTTAGTCTTCTCTGTGATCTGTAATTTATGTTTGTGTATTTTACCATTTAACTTTATCCTGCGACCGTAAGACTAGGACTAGGAGTGTTTTCCTTCATCAAGACCTCTTTTGGACCTGGTTTTCTGTCTTCATACTCCCTCCTTTCTCTCTTCTGACCCCCACCACTCACCCCCACCCCACCTCCACCCCAACTATTTTTCTTTCCCAGTCACAGACACACACACATACATACATAACCACATATTGGTATATTTGTGTGATTTGATAGTATGCCAGTATCTGCTCTTTCATATCAGTCATGAGATTATGTATGGGTCCAAATTTTATAAGGACTTTTGTTGGATATATTTGTGAGTATACATTTGTACCAACTTAAGGAGGTGTTTTAAATTGTAGCCAGTTGCGCTCCTGTTTCAGTATTTGGATCTGTTCCAAATTGCAGTGTCTCGTATTTGTTGATTTAAACATGAATTTTACATACTGAGGACAGTTTGCATTAGACCTTGGTGGAGATTGGTATTGCCAGGTTGATTTAGTATTTGTATTATGCTGTTGGAAACTTTTTAACTGGCTTTACTGAGGTGGTTCGGGTTAATTTTGTCCAACTTGCTTTTCATTTGTGGGATATCACTTCAACTATGTAATGCTATTGCATATGCGCATAGATTGAAAAATAGAGTATTTGATGTTTCTTCCTAAAGTTGTTAGATGTTTTTGATCATTGTGCAGAAGTTTGTTCATCCACAGCAATTTTACAAATTTGGAGCTATTCATTTTGATGTATAAAAGAAACTAATCTTCGGCATCATTGGAACTGTTATCCTAATCTGCTCATTGGCCATTATTTTTTTGAACAAACTGCTCCTTAGCCATTAGGTAGATCTCATTTTAGAGGATAGCCTGCCTTCTGCCACCGAGCTTTCTTTTGAAGTAGGCTCTGTGTGTGGTGTGAAGTATTTGATTGTATTTTGACAGATGGTAAAGTCATAGGCAATCAAACTGCTTTGGCTTATGCCATAATAAAAAGTGCTCCTCAAATATTCATACGATTTTTAGGGTTTCGACTTTAGGTTGTTTTGTAAAACCCTACCACCGAATGCATAAGATCTTACCCGGTGTTTCACCCACATCCCAATGAAACAATGAGGACACTTTCAACATGTTATTAGCCTGGCATTGTGTTGTCCCATATTCACCTTTAATTGGTGAAAGCTAGAAGAGAGTTAGAGGAGAAAAAGGTAAAAAAGGACAAAGAAAGGCATAGGTGATGGGCTCTACCTTGTTGAAGGATTGCTTTTGTGCCTGCGTAGATATTCTGCTGATTTAGGGAGCACATTGTTGTCAATACTCCTGTTTCCTATTGAAAAGAAAAAAAAAGAACATTGTTGTTAGTACCGCTGCATATTCCACTGCTTGCATCAATGTCATGGGTATATATGTCCTTAACATCGTCTTCTGTCGAGATATTTTGAAAGAGCCATGTTGAAAACCTCATATCCATATTAGATGCCAAGAGCTTTGAGAGAGGTTTGTCAAACATTCGCATCCCTGTTAGATGCATGACCTTGTGAACTGGGTTTTTATTCCCCTAATGGCTATAAATTTTTATCTTTTGTTGCAAGTTAGGTTACGATTCTTAATGAATTTGCTCAGCTATTTCAGTTTGCATGTTATACCTACAACAAAGCCAATTACAATGTAAAGTTATCATATAGTCTGTAACTGGTTTTGACTAGATGTTTTGCTGCTGTTGCATTAGGCACAATGTTGACCAGAAAACTTAAACTTGTATGGCCAGTAAACATGTATCTGTTTAATATTTGACAGTTGAGATAATAAGTACCAGTCATGTTTTGCGCAATTGATCAATTGGCATTTAGTTGTTTCTTTGCTGTTTTTGTCAGTTATTTCCCCAGGGAAAAATTAACTAAACGGAATGTTCATGAGATGTGATCTTCCCTTATAACAATTTGGCTTTCTAGAAATGATGTTTTGCATCTTTATTTTCAGCCTGTTATTTGACCTTTTTCTTGTTAATGATAAATATAGGTTCTGCACAACTGGCCTCCCAAGTGATATTGTTGTCGAAGTTGGGAGATGTCCTTCCATCTGCACAAGGTAATTAACCTTTGACTAATCATAGTTTAGCTTCTATGTATTTATATGCTCTCCAACATTGAATAAATTCTGTTATGTCATTCATTTTAGTGCCATTGGTATTTTATTGGGTAAATGTGCCTAATACTGCTTGTAAAATAATTGTATGAGCAAAAGCTTGTTACGAACCCTGGGAAGGGATGTGTCAAAGATGGACAACTAAGCAGGAGGCGCATGTATTATTACGTCTCCATTCACTTAAATTCCACGATGGGTATTCCAGTTCATTCTATTGTCTATACTGCATTATTATCATTTTATTAGATAGTCTCTAAAGAAATTTCTTTGATTCAGGATCCTCTCTCCCAAACCCCACAGTTCTGCAGAGTAGATCTAAGGTTATAAAGGTATTTGAACCATAGTATCAGCTACTCAGAAAGAGACAAGGAGGGGGGGGGGGTTGATGACGTTAAGGCGAAAAAGACAAGGCTAAGGTATTGAGAGAACCCTCGTATAAGAGTTTGATCCTTTCTCTTGCATTCCAACTAATGCAATGCTGTCCGGGGGCAAGATCTGGTCGACCTCAAAACAGTCCTAGGTCTAGCAATTTGGATCCAAGCTACACTGATTAGAATTAGATCCTGCTTTTATTCACCTAGGTCTAACAACTGGTCAAGCTCTAGTTTGAGTAGATATTGTCCCTTGTTCCATAGCATGATATATATACCCAGTATACATATTTGATAGATCAAAAAAAGAAAATGTATACGAATTTGATTTTTTTTGGGGGTCTGTGTTCAGATTTAACAGAGACGTACTGATTACATTAACAGTACAAATCAATTTTGTTATATTGGTTGAGTATAAACTTGGCCTTATGTGGTTAGAGCAGTTACCACCCCAGTCATTGTGCCGTCTACATGCCCGCCTTAATCCATTGATCTGGTCTATGAAACTTGTTCTTTGCGTTTTGGGGCCCAAGGGGGGTAGTTCCGGTTGGGGCCTGACAAAATTCTCAAGCTCACTTTCCCTTTGTGCAATATTTTAGGTATGATTTATTGATTTAATACCTAGTTGTGATATTCACAATTTTTACGTCCATTGTCAATCCATGTACAGGGAAAATGGAGGTGCGTAGATGGAGAATATGTAATTGACATTTTATATTTATTACAGTATCTACATTATTCATTTTTTTTAAAAATCTTCATTCTATGCAGTTCCCCTTGCTTTCAAGGAGTGGGATTATGGAGAGATTGATTGCTGAAGCATCTAAAGAAGAAGAGGGCTGTGTCATTAACCTCCCTTACATCCCCGGTGGGGCTAAAACATTTGAACTTGTAGCTAAGTTCTGCTATGGGGTAAAACTCGAACTTACTGCTGCAAATGTTGCGTACCTCCGGTGTGCTGCTGAGCATCTTGAAATGACAGAAGAGTACGGGGAGGGAAATCTAATTTCACTGAGCGAAAGCTTTCTCAATCAAGTAGTCTTCCGAAATTGGAAGGACTGTTTGAAAGTTCTCCAAACATGTGATGATATTCTGCCCCATGCTGAAGAACTCCAGATTATAAGAAGATGCATTGATTCAATGGCTTTGAAGGCAAGTACCGACCCAAATCTATTCGGGTGGCCTGTGATGGAGCATGGTGGACCTATGCAGAGCCCCGGTGGGAGCGTCTTGTGGAATGGGATAAGCACGGGGGCTAGGCCAAAAAATTCAAGGTCAGATTGGTGGTATGATGATGTATCGACTTTAAGTTTCCCTATCTACAAGAGGTTGATTTCAGCCATGGAATCTCGTGGCATCAAACAGGAGATTATTTCTGGGTCCCTACCTTTCTATGCAAAAAGGTACCTACCAGGGCTGAGTCGCCGTCAAAGTGCAAGTGAGTCTAGCAACCGTTTTACGCCAGTAGGTATGGGAGCACCCCCATCTGAAGAAGATCAGAAACTTTTTCTTGAAGAGATTGATCATTTACTTCCAATGCAGAAGGGTTTAGTCTCCACCAAATTTCTCTTTGGCCTACTTCGAACGTCCATGATTCTTCGAGCAAGCCCTTCTTGCATAGCAAACTTGGAAAGAAGAATTGGGATGCAGCTCGATCAGGCAACACTTGAAGATCTCTTGATGCCTAACTTCTCTCATACCATGGAAACGCTTTATAATGTTGAGTGTGTGCAGCGGATTCTTGAGCATTTTCTGGCCATGGATCAGGTGACAGGTGGGGCCTCTCCTTGTTCCATGGATGATGGCCAGCTGATGGGATCACCATCATTGACACCAGTCACAATGGTAGCCAAGATAATTGATGGGTACCTTGCGGAGGTTGCCCCAGATATTAATTTGAAGCTTCCCAAGTTTCAGTCCCTTGCTGCTGCCGTTCCTGATTATGGTAGGCCCTTGGATGACGGCCTTTATCGTGCAATTGACATTTATCTCAAGGTAACTTCATTTCATCCCTTTACTGTATGGATGAGCATGGGTAGCATATATGATTTAGGTCAAGTCATCGTTCATGCTATGTTGTTGGTCACTTCTTACATTGATCTCAACATAGGTCTGAAATTTTGAGCTCTGCAAGCAGAGAACCAAACATACCCGAAACTAGAAACAACTTAATCCTAGGGATTTAGAGAAACCTGATTTATGATTACATTGTGCCTTTGCTTGTCTTTGGTTGCTACTATTCTGTTCCGTTTATCTTATATTCTAATAACTCAACATCAGGTTAGTTATTTGCCAATTTTGGACAAACCTAATTCCATAGTTATGTTAGTCCAACCCAAATTCACCCAAGGACGGGTTGATGGGTTCAGTTCAGGGTAATTGGCGTTGTGATTCTCCCTTTAATACATGGAGACAATGCAGCTTGAAAGCATGCTGCTGCCTGGAGCACATGAGCTACCAAAAACCAGTATATTATCATAACCTCTTGGAAAATCATATTAAAAGTTATGAAAGTGAAAAACCACTAGGAAAGGAGACAAAAAGCATTACACCGGGCATACTGGCTATGTTTGTTCATGGCTGATCGTCTTCCCTATTGTTTCCCTCCCTGCAGTCACACCCATGGTTAGCAGAGTCTGATAGAGAACAACTCTGCCGGCTGATAGACTGCCAGAAGCTATCCTTGGAAGCTTGTACCCATGCTGCCCAGAACGAGAGGCTACCCCTAAGAATAATAGTACAAGTCCTTTTCTTTGAGCAGCTCCAGCTTAGGACTTCCATTGCTGGCTGCTTCTTGGTGTCGGACAATCTTGAGGGGTCACGACAGTTGAGAAGTGGCTTGATGGCACCTAATGAGGGAGGCTGGGCCACTGCTGTGAGGGAGAATCAGGTTTTGAAGGTGGGTATGGATAGCATGAGGATGCGGGTTTCTGAGCTCGAGAAAGAGTGCTCAAACATGAGGCAGGAGATCGAGAAGTTGGGTCGAGGAAAGGGATCTAGCGCGTGGGGCGGTGTGTCAAAGAAGTTCGGGTTTAAGATAAAGTCTCAGATGTGTAGCGCTCAAGAGGGGTCTGTTAGCAACCAGAATAATAGCGGAAGCGTGAAGGCTGAGAAGGCAAAGGACAAGCAGCATGGAAAGCACAAGAAAAACCAGTCTTCAGATGGGTAGTTCTTCTTTCAGCTTTTCTTTTTGGGTTTTGTTAGATTGTTGTTGTAAGTTCTTGTTTGTATCTCTACTTTGGTCTTTAATCAGAAATTGTTTGTGTCATATTTGTTCTTTATTTTTATTTTCCTCTTCAATATCTCCTCATTGTAATGTCAATGAATTATGTGGTACTCCTGTATCTCTTGTAACATTTACAAATTACTCTCTCTCTCTCTCTCTCTCTCTCTCTCTCTCTCTGCTTGTTAATTTCTAATAGCTGATGTGTTGTAGATCAAAATTCGTTTTGCACCAAAACGATATTGTTCTATTTAACAAAATGACGTAACTTTGTATTAAAATGACATTATTTTAATCAACAACACCGTGTAAGAATTATGTGGTCCACATGATTTGGCACATGTGATAATTGATATAACTAATGATATTTGATTGATCAATGAGAAAGTAATTTTTTGATACCTTATTTTAATGGGAAGTGGAGTTTATGTTGAACTAGGGAACCAATCATTTCTCTACCTATAAATATACACATACTTCATCGAGTTGTGTATTGTAAGAATAAATTTTAAGAGAGATAAATCGATTTTTGGGCTACACCAAAGAATGGTTTAATTGTTACTCAAGTAATTTATGGTTTGTGATTATGACTCTAGATATATCGAAAATGACATTCTTAAATGTGAAAATCATAATTGTTCTACATCTTAGAATTAAAGTTTGATTGATCTCTTTAATCAAATAAAGTTTACACACTGTTGCTGTTAATTTTCTTATAGAAGAGAATCTTCACCCAAGGGTTAAGTTGTCAATTCTTGTAATGGTATTTGTCAAGAATCATGCGCATCTAAGCGATTGTAGAGATAATTGATTGTGTTTGGAGCACAAAGCTCCCTCTATAAGAGGGAAGATAGTCCGCGAAAGATAAATGGTGAACAATCGTACTCTATTTTGTAGAGGTAGATTCTTAAACTCAAACTTGAAATGTATCTTTTGAACGGGTTTGTATTGAAATATATTAATTTTTGTTAAAATTATAACTTTAATTTCTTTCTTTGTTTCCATTAAAAAACAAAATCTAAATTCACCATTTTGAGTATAATTACTAGGATACCATAATTTTATAACACTATTCAATTGTTATTATACATTCAAATTTCTTTCCAATTTATCGCACTTTTTTTTTTTTAAAGCATGGTCTAAACTCATATTTTCAATATAAAATATGTTTGCATAATACACTTTCGAGTAGAAAATCTTAAAAGCGAATTTCTAAAACACGTCTTAGAAGTGAAATTTAAATAAATTTTGAATTTTTACTAAACAAGAAAATTCGAATCAGTACAAATTCAATTAAAATTTCATCGGCCAAATTTTAAATTCTGGATTCGAAAGTCATTTATTTCGATGATTTTTTGTGAGTGAAATAGTAAGTAAAAAAAAATCACAGTGAATATGAAACCATACTTTTTTCAAAATGGGAATCAATAATTTAATCTACACTGATTCTCGTTATTGATGTTTCAGTTAATAGCACTTTTAATCTTTAAAGTATGCTCGTTTTGTCAGTTTGATTCTCATTATATTAATTTTGTTTCTAAAATTTCAATTCATGTCACTTTGGTTTCTAATTAGACAATTATCAATTTTTTTGGTAAAAGTGACCACGTGTCATTTTTTCAGATGGTATCCTGAGTTCAACACGTGATTATTTTGCCAAAAAACATAATGGTCAGCCTATGTAGGGATAATTTAAATACGAATTAAATATTTTAGGAATTAAATTGATATAATTGATATTTTAAGGACTAAACTAAAAAAACATACATATTTTAGGGGCTAAAAATATTATTAACCGTTGATATTTATTCCTTGTCCAACCACTATGTTATTCTTGATCAAAAAAGATAAAAAAAATCACTATGTTATTATTATGATTGCGTAGTTTTAAGGCATTTCATTGATCATCAATCCAGCTTTAACTTACACCACTTTTATGTTTTTCAATAAAACCATAGCAATGAGATTAACTTTAAGTTTAGTCTTTAGCCAATATACTTCTCTCTAATTCAGGTTACATTGGACCCATTCTTGCATATTAAATTTCGGATACTTGTAGTCAGTTGCGAGAATCGAACCCAGAACACCCGAGTTCATGATTCACACCAACTCCAATCTCATGCCACTGAGCTGTCCATGCAGGGGTGACTCAAGTTAATTTGAGGTCTTAAGCGGAAATATTAAATAAAGGTTTTTTTAATTTTTAGTATTACTTTTTAAAAAATTATTTTTAATTTTCTATGTGAAAAGGAGACAAAAGAATGACATGTTAATATTGTCGAGAAAGATATTTTAATTTTTGTTTTTATTTTATTTTTTACGGCAGATAAGGAGAGAGAGTGTTTAATTTCAACTTTTATTTTTTTTGTTTTTATTTTTTTTATCGAAGAGAGAGAGAGAGAGTGTGTGGGAGTAAATATGAGTTGACTTTTGAGTATTTTTTTTATTTCTAAGTTTTTAATGTTATGGATTGAATTATATGTCCAAATTATTGAAAGAAAAATTTTAATTGGATTTACTTTTTTGTAAGGCTTAAAATTTAATGGATTTAATTTTTTTTTTGGGTTAGTGATGTACCTAAAATTATTGGACCTTCTAAAATTTGAGGCCTAAAGCCCATATATTTTTTTTTCATATTGTTGGTGCGACCCTGATCCGTGCGAGCTAAAGTTGAGGATAAAAACACTTTCATTGTTATCCTATTGTGACATAAGTCTGGTCGTTCGAGTGTCGAAAAAAAGTTTTTTTGTATCCTAAGACCGGGTGTATTTGACTCTCACCAAATCTTGCAATGATAAAAATCTCGTGCATTGGACTGTGTTTTTATGTCTCTCCGCACCCTTGGGAATCAAACATGATAATGACATTTTTAGTCATCTAAAATATTATTAAACAGCTTATTAAGGATGTGTTTGCAAAAGTGTAGTTAGACTATTCACTCATTTCACCAAAATCTAAAAGGTGTGGTTGAGGTAGTTTGGTAATGCCTAATCACATGGATACTTAAATCCTCCATCCTCCAGAATTATATGATCTCACCCCTGACCCATTCTTCCTTCATCCTATCCTATAATCCAGAAGCCTTCTTTCTCTTCTTCTGCATTATCTCACTTGTCTTGTACAGTTTCAGGTATGTTTTGCTTCTCTATTTTATATATTTTCTTGAGCTTTCCTGCATTTTCTTTTTTTTTTGTTTACTCTCGTAGTTTACAATTCTTCACTCTATATTTCTTTTGTGATGGAGAACTATAACCCCGAATTGAGTTAGATAAATCCTCGGTGTACACACGCATCCCAACGATGTTTGTCACTTCTCAAAATCTCTGTCACTTCGCCTACATTTGGTTTTATATAGTTAAGATCCGAAAACAACGATGTTTGCTTTTTTTTCTTTATTACCTCGGGGAATCAATCAAGTTTGATGCTTCAATAGGCCTGTAGTTGCCATGGTTATGAAATATCTAGGTCAGAAAATCAAACTTCTTGAGTTAGAAAAATGGTTTCTTATTCACCACATCTTGGCCGTTGGATCAATTAGGCAGAGTTGATCATCAAACAATTTATGATGCCTCTAGTAAAAGTATGATAGTAATGTTTTTGAACCAATGGTGTGTGATCAGCCCATCTGGGGTTGGGGTCCATGAATGATTATACTCCTCAGATGTAGAGAATAATGTAAGTATTGTGATCTTACTAGGAGTGAAACTGTTTTCAGTTTTAAGCGGATCAAATCCTAGGTGAGAGAGAAACAGAATCCCAACTGTTTCTGTAATCTTAGCTAAATACATGTGTGTCAATTCTAGTATTCGGATCTACTATATTACCTTTTCCAAGCCCATTTTTGGAATTTCAAACCCAAAATTTTGTGACCAAAAAGATCAACATGGCCCATTGATTTGCCATAGCTGCAAATCCCTACACCTTTTAGCCAGTACCTACTACTAGTCTTTGGGCTATGAGATCTCCATGGGGGAGAGTCTTCCAAAGTAGGTCCCAAGCTTACCCGTGTAGGTGTAGAGCCCCGTGCAACTTCCAAATATTTGGGAATGAAATAGATTAAATTTGGGAATAAACTTGGAAATGCAAGTTTATTCAATCAACAGCATGTATATTACAATTTTGATGCATGATAATTATTAGGATTAAGCGTTGGAATAGAATTAAAAATCATATAAATGTCTAAGTTTGACCCATCTCCGGACCCTAAACTTGGAACCGCGACCCCACCTCATACTTGGAACAAGCCCCGGATTCAAATCCAAGATTTGACCTTGAACCGATGTTGAACTTGAACCAAACCACTAACTCCGAACCCTAGACCTAAACACAAACCCCAAACTCAGTGTAGGCTCTAAGCCTGGACTTTAGACATGATCTTAGATCGGACCCCAGCCTCATGACTTAGAATCAGACCCAAGACCCAATCATGGACCCCAACCCTAGTCTCAAATTTGACCTCACACCTGATACCCGAGTGGAGGTGGAGTGGTGGTGGTTGGCAATGGATAATACCGCCACATTTAAGAATTACCTATAATAGCGTGGTTAGAAATTTCATGGTAATGTGAATGAGTTTTTATTACTACAAACTAAATATTGGAAGAGACATTACTTAGTAGTAATGATCATTTCATTCCTATGCTTCATTACCACCAACTGAACGCAGTTAAGACATCATTCACTCCGTTTCTCTTTGTCTACATACTCACGAGTAATGCTATTGTAGGCAGTGTGTGACATAGGTTTAAGTACAATTTTTTTTATGAAACCATTAGACCATAATCAAAGTCTATATTTCTGCCCAGTCCTTTTCTATCTACACCCTCAACTGTAAGGATCAAATGAGTTAATGACCCTCTTTTTTTTATTGTGCTACAAACAACATGCATGGATCTTCATTTTTTTTTTTTTTTGGATTTTTGGGCAGGACATAAAATGGTAGGTGGTAGTGACAATGGTGATCAAGCCAACACAATCAAGAAGAGATGTTGTGGATGCAACAAAGCAGACTTCTTTCCAGAGGAGTCATTTCAGAACTGGGGGAACTATGCCAAGGCATTACGCGAGACGAAAACAAGGCTCAAAGATCGTCTCTTGACTCGCTCGTTTGACCAACTAGAGCTTCACGAAATGCGTGGCCGTAGCCAGCATGAGATGAAAAAGACCCTCAATTGGTTTGATCTCATCTGGTTTGGTGTTGGCGCTATAATGGGAGCCGGAGTTTTTGTCCTCACCGGACAAGCAGCCAGGGAATATTCTGGCCCTGCAGTCCTAATTTCATACCTTATATCAGGCATTTCTGCACTACTCTCTGTCTTGTGCTACACTGAATTTTCTACTGAACTTCCAGTGGCTGGAGGCTCTTTTGCATATCTAAGAGTTGAACTTGGCGATTTCATCGCGTTCATCGCTGCTGGAAACATCCTTTTCGAGTACATTGTAGCAGGGGCTAGTGTGGCACGATCCTGGACTTCATACTTTGCGACATTGTGTAACCACAAGCCTAATGATTTTCGAATAAATGTCTCATTCTTGGCTGAGAATTACAACCATTTGGATCCAATTGCAGTTGGGATCTCCATAGCCATTTGTGTTGGTGCCTCGTTGAGCATGAAGGGGTCAGCTCGGTTTAATTCAGTAGCAACAATATTACACATTGGAGTCGTAATCTTCATTCTTGTTGCTGGACTTACTAAGGCAAACCCTGCCAATTATGCTAACTTTGCCCCATATGGTATCCGCGGTATCCTGAAAGGCTCAGCCATGCTCTTCTTCGCCTATGTCGGGTTTGATGGCGTGGCAACGTTGGGGGAGGAGATCAAAAACCCGGGCCGAGACATTCCCATTGGCCTCATAGGATCAATGTTGATCATTATAACAACTTATTGTCTTCTATCAGCAACATTATGCCTAATGCAACCATACTCAGGGGTTGATCCTGACGCACCATTTACTATTGCATTCCAAGCCACAGGGATGAATTGGGCTAAGTTTATTGTTGCCTTTGGTGCATTGAAGGGCATGACCACAGTTTTGCTTGCTAACATTGTAGGGCAAGCTAGGTACTTCACTCACATTGCGCGAACGCACATGGCTCCTCCGATACTTGCAGTCATCAGTGAGAAAACCGGGACACCAGTGAACGCCACCGTGATCATGACAGTGGCCAACTCCATTGTTGCATTATTCACAAGCCTTGATGTTCTGGCAAACCTTCTATCTATTGCCACACTCTTCATATTCTCACTTGTGGCCATTGCATTGATAGTGAGACGACATTATGTCTCAGGGGAGACATCAGAAACCGACAGAAATAAGCTCATTGGATTCTTGGTTTTGATCATATTGTCCTCAATTGGCACAGCCATCTACTGGGCAGCTAGCGAGAACGGGTGGTTCGGGTACGTAATCACTGTAACAATCTGGTTTTCTGCAACCTTGGGACTGAAGTTGATGGTGAAGGAAGCGAGAAAACCAAAGGTGTGGGGTGTGCCATTGGTTCCATGGTTGCCATCAGCTAGTATAGCCATCAATGTGTTCATCATGGGTTCCATTGATGGACCTTCATTTATGAGATTTGCAGTGTGGACAGTGTTATTGCTGATATACTATTTGTTTGTGGGACTACATGCTTCATATGATGCAGCCAAAGAATCTGAATCCGAGAGAAAAGTTGATGCAACTGAGGCAACAAATATTGAAGCTGGTGTAACAAATATTGAAGCTGGCGGAAGAACGTAAAAGGGTTATTGTCTGATGCAGTGGTAAAAATAAGAAGAACACAGTAGTATCACCTGAATAAGGAAAGCCCCACGCTGTCTAATAATCGAAAAAAAAGAAGGGCGAAGGGCCCATCGAGCATTGATGTTTTGGTTTTTTCTGTTCCTAAACTGTTTTCTGTCCATCTTTGGCCTTCGAGTTCTTTGTACGTGTAGTTTAGGACATCAATTAGGAAACAAGAGATTAACCAGGGCTAGCTATTTTCAGCTCCCCCCACCCCCACCCCCACCCAAAAATAAAATGGATGCAAGGATGTTATAACATCTACCTGTCCCACATTTTCCCATAGACTAGAGCCTCATGCACCAAGTATGAATCAAAACCATAAAACAAAAAATAGGATTAATTATTTTTTACCTCTCTAGTTTCAGCTAGAAACACCTTACCTACTTATCGTTTAAAATTATGTACATTACACTATTATAGTTATGTACCAAAATGAAGTAAGTGACGCTACTAACGAAATTAAAAAATTATTATAATACCCACGTTTCAAAATCAAACTTTTCGTCTGATTTACCCCTAATCATAAAACTAATGAAACATGACAATAAATCAACTCATTTCAATCAAATATGTCGAGTCTCTTTTTTTTCCTCAAGTGATATTTTGTTTCGGGGCCAAAAATTACTTACGTTTTTCTTACATATTTTTTTATCTTAGATCGACGCCCTACCTATTTGGGTATTATTCCATATATTATAAATGATATTTTAGGCACTTTAATAATATTCTTTTAGAGGAAAACAATGAAAACAAAGTCCATAACATGTTTTCAACGTGTGGAACACAATCTTCGTTAACTTGGATGATAAAAATAACCATTTCACTTTGATATATAACTAAAAAGAGAGTAATGTGTATAATTTTAAACGTCAAATAGGTCATGTGCTTTTAACCGAAACCAACCACAGGTAGGTAAAATTAACCCAAAAAAATACTAAGCATGAAAGCCAGGTAAAACAATTCTCACACTACTGTATTCATTTGCCATGGGAATGGTTTACAAAATTAACCTTGATGTACCTCGATGCATGAACTTTTCAACAACTAATAACCGGCTTCAATCCCACATTCCTCAAGAAGAAAAAAAATCCCTGAATACATTTCAGTGAATATGGTTGTATTTGGATACACAGCAAGAGTAATTCAGCTCCTCTGCCTACTTCCGAAGCAGTTTGGACATGGAATTGGAGGGTAAGGATGTGAGGAGACAGACTCAATGCCCTAAGATTGGCATAGAGCAGGATTGAATTGCTCCTGTTTTCCCCTGGTCTTTTTGCAAGGAAGCATTTACCAAAAAACCTTGGCCACAAATGATGTAAGATGATGAAATCATTGTTACGATCAATGTAATTGTTAAACAACCATTTACTCCAAAAATCTAAACTAAATTTTGGACCAAGCGTGTGAAAATAGGACTCCATGCTCTGATATTATGTTAAATAACTATCTACTCTAAAAGTTTAAACTGTTGGAGAGCGTGTAACTTGAAGTATTTATACTAATAGTAATAAATTTCCAATGTATGTTCTGCATGTTGTAACTTTATTTCAACTATATCTGATTATGATAGCTGTATAATTTAAGTTTAGATATGTCTTCTATATAATAAAGTAGAACGATTTTGAATTTTAAAGACAACGAGCGGATCAGATCGTTTCGTGACCAAAAAAAATATCATCCGACGGACGACGTTATTTCAAACTATCTCGAACTATTGACATCTCAGATCGTTTTAATCCGACGTACCACATTAATTCTTGAAATATTTTTGCCGCTCAAAATTTTTAATTACCAAAATTAACATCCCTAAATTAATTTCCCCAACTCAATCCAATCCTTAAATTAAGCTATCTTTCACTCCAACTCTGTCTCTTTGCCTCTCTTACACACCAATGATTAAATCTTTCACGCCCAATCAGCCTTTCTCATGGCTTAATTTGCTCATGCTCCCTATTTCTCTCTTCTCGTGCTTCTCTCTCTCATTTATTAGTCTCTCTATCTCTCTCCTCTCTCTCTGGACACATCTGACCAACAAACCACCGCTGAGAGATTCATTACCAAAAATACAGTACAGGTACCCTCTCTCTCTCTCTCTCTCTCTCTCTCTCTTCAACTTTCTGCACAAACACACAACATAACGCATGTACAGCATAATGTGTCTTAGTGTTTTGTGTGTGTGTGTGTGTTTTTCTGTTCTCGTGTGTGTTGAGTATAAACTCTCTCTCTCTCTGGTCAGTGGTGTGTGCGTTGCGTGCCTATGTTTGTGTCCTGTGTATTTGTGTTTTCTGTGTGTGTGTGTGTTTCTGTCTCTGTGTGTTTTTGTATTCGTTGAATGTGTTCTCTTTCTCTCTCTCTCTCTCTCTCTCTCTCTCTCTCTCTCTCTCTCTCTTTATATGGTGTGTGCGTTGTGTTTATGGTGTGTGCATTGTGTGTGTGTTCTGTCTGAGTGTTTCTGTGTGCATTGAGTGTGTTTCTCTTTCTCTCTTTTTTGTGTGTGTCAAAAGTGTGTTTTTCTGTGTGTCATAATGCCATTAGGGTGTGTGTTTGTTTATGGGTATGTAATGTGCCAAAACTTTATTTGTTGGCATATTTAATACTATGGAAAAACACCGACTTTGCAAAATTCAAAGCCTTGGGATTAATTTGGTTAGAATTAAAAGAATTTATTTTGTATTTTCTTCAATTCATCGTATTTCTTGGAAAGTTGATGTTCCTGTTTGGTTTAATTAGGTCTCAATTTTAATACTTTTTGGATTTTGATTGATTTTTGGGTTGGTTCATTGGCCGTTGATGTTGACATTTGTTTGTGATGGATTGCCTTTGGGATTCATATTGGCCACAATAAATGGTACATATAGCTCTGTTCCTATGTTAATTCTGAGATTGTAGCAGCAGTGACAATCTCTATCAATATTTTTGTTATGAGTAAGTTTACCTCCGACACCATCGAAGTTTAGTTAAAAAAGTGTTAGAGGAATATGATTGTCAATACATCTTTGCTATCTATCAACATTTAATTATTCTTTGTCGGTATATTACGGTATCAATTCCACTTTCAATTGTTAAATGTATCGTTTAAAATTGACACTTAACCCTTTGCTTTGGTTCATGTCATAATTATGTAGTGTTGGAGGATTACAATAGTGAGACGGAATGTATATCTCTGTGCTATGCAACTTTTTTTTACCCGCAGTTACAGTATGTGTATGTATGTATTTTGTGAATATATATACTATATAGATTTGGAGTGTAAAAAATGAAGGGTGTGAAATTCAATTTTCTTTATAGTAGATCTATACCGTACTTAATTATTCGCATGTTTAAGACTATTGTAACTTTGAATGTAGTTCGATTACCATTGTGGTTGTTTATTATTCGTATGGTTATGATGATGTTGTAATAGTTGATAAATCATGGTGTTCAGGTAAGATTGTACCATGATAATGAGTTCAATATATTCTCAATTTTTTCTATGCAATACGGTCGAAGACTAGCCTACTAAAATAAAAAGGAAGTCAATGATGAAGACTAATCATCTTGGTAGCATCAACCTAACCAATAATAGGTTAGTCTCCAAAATTCGATGTCTTAGGTTCAAATCTTATAGGAAGTGATTACATTCTTTGTTTTTTTTTTTTCCTGTTATGTAGTGTCGTCAGACACAAACATTAACCAGCACATTTATATAATAAAGTAGTTAGATTATTTGTCTTCATCTTTTCGCAATTCAGAGCGTTTTGATCTGATAGTCGTAATTGAATTTTATTCTTTTTATAACTCTAACACTCTCATACAACTCTCTCTATCTATCTTATACTCTCTCTCTCTCTCTCACACACACACACATACTATTATATATTTTTTTTGTTTCCCCTATATTATTTTTTTATTATTTACTCCATAAAACAAATGAAATTACAAGTTATGCAATTATTTATTTCATGAAACTAATTCAAAATTTTTATATATTTGACGTTATATATTTTGCCACTTGTTTTTTAATTTATAAATAACACTTAATGTAAATTAGCATATTGACTATATAATATTAAACACGAAATGAACCTTAGATTGTAATTAATATATATTTTTATCAAAATTTACATGTAATTTTGTATATTTATATTCAACTTTATCGAATTAATATCAAATTAATTTTTATTGTTATCAATTAATGTGAAATTCATTTAATCAATTTTTTGGAGTACTAAATTATATCAATTTTGGTAAATCAATTTCAATTTTTTTTGATACTAAATTTGGAGAAGGACAATTGAAAAAATAATAAAGTTTTTTATAATGAAATTATCAATTTCCAAGAGAGAGAGGGGGTTCTCCATGCAATTAATTTCAAATCTCAAGGGGTCTCTGTGTTATTTATAAAATTTCAGGAGGTATCCGTGTAATATTTGTCAAAACTCAGGAGATGTCCATAATTTTTACCTTGTGTTTTTAATTAAATATTGATTTATTATTATTTTATCTTAAAAACTTGAATTATTGTATTTCTAATAAAAAATATTTATTGGTTAGGATAGTTTGTTAGTAACTAAAAAAAAAAAAATGTGTGAGAATGTTTTTGTGTATATTTATATATGGAAGATTGGACATTTGGTGATTAAATGTATAATTATATTGTGTCAATTGGTGTTCAATTGTGATAAGTGGAGATACGTTTGAGTTTTATAAATAAGCAAGATTTAATTGATTTATTTATTGTTTAAAAATTGTGAATTTAATTATATTCTATAAATATTTTTTTTTTACTCAAGGTATTTATTACTTGGACATAGGGTGAATTGAAATATGATAGCTGAATTTACAATTATGTTATGTTATTAGATTGAGTAACAGTAGAGGTAATAAATTCGTAAATTTTATAAATAAACAAAATTTAATTAATTTTATTTATCATTTAAAAATTATAAATTAAATTGTGTTCTATAAGTATTATTATTATTATTTTTTGCTCGAGGTATTTATTACATAAGCATAGGGTAGATTGAAAATATAATGGCTAAATTTGTAATTATGTTATGTTATTAAATTAAGTGACAGCATAGATGATAAATTCGTGAGCTTTACAAATGAACAAGATTTTATTTATTACTTAACGAATGTAAATTTTAATAAGAGCATTGTTTTTTAAGAGGTATTTGTATTTGTATATATGATATAATTTTAGGGGAGTTTTTACATATTTTTATGGCAATTTCATTAATATAAAGAATATAATCAACGATATAATTCAAACTCTTTTAAAAGAAGAATTGATATAAATATTTTTAAATCATTCCTTTTAAATTTAAACAATTTTTTAAAATTTTTTTGTTCATTGTATAATGCCTTTGAACACAGACAATAAATAGTGTATATATATATATATATATATATATATATCACTAATGCATTGTTCCTTCTGCATCAAAGTAAAACAAATATGATCATTGATTGATAAATTGTATACATCAACTATGAAACACCATATCCCTGTGATTACCACAACATTTCTTGCATATCACACAGTAATATAATATGAACACCAACAATGAAACAACTGGAGAGGTAAAGCACAGGAACTAAATCAAAAAAAAAAAGAAAAAGAAAAAAGAGATGCATACTGAGAAACCTAGAGAACAATTTCTGCTATGCGTCCAATATACAGAAATTTACTGAAATGTTGTCTCTATCTTCAGAAGTGAATTGAGGGATGTACTGTTGAACCTCTGAGCAAGGCCTCGTATTACAAGAACGATGACATCTCGCAGATGCCGAGTCTGCACCATCAAGTCTACTTCATTCTCACTGTCCACAACAATCCTAAGGCGATGTTGATCATTTCGGAATAGCTCCACCTGCAAAATTTTGACAGACACATGAGGAAAAAACATTTCATAAGCATTAGGATACCGCTTTTCCTGACCAAAAAACCTGTGTATCTGAGTATAAACTTCTGGTTTTCTACCATCCTAGCATTGAGCTACTATAATGCAATAACAATTGCATCCTAATCTTATTATTTACAGAGTTCTAAAACTTCTGTTGACTTGGGAAGCATGGAGCCATTGCATGTTGCACAGCTAAAAGTATAGGTTACCAATCATGATCATGAGAAAACACAGGTTTTAGGATGGAGACATTTTGTGAAACAACCCCAAAAAAGTTATGTACATTTGCAGTCACCCATTCCACCACCATAAACTGAGGGGATGCTGCAGCTACCCTAAGGAATCCATTCTAAGATTGTTACTGTGACATGCCATGATTGACAAAACATGGAAATCAGGTTTTCTAAAACTGCACTCAAAAACATGTTTCTCTATAGGGCTAATCCGATATGTATAACAGTGTCCATCCCATGTCGAATGATTAGGGGCACCTGAGGTTGATTTATATGTTTAAGGAGTCTTTTGAATTAGTTGCTCTGACTTGTAGACTTCAGAGTGCTCAACAGATCAAGTCTCTTGCTTATCGTCAATTGATTTTCGTTGGATGCTGGAACACTCCCCATCACAATTTCAAATATTTATGTTGAGGTTTTTCTAGGCCAGAACCATCAGAACTTGATGATCTCACACAATTGATTTTCCTCAGTTCTCTTCAACATATCAACCATCGCCTCAACAAGCACTAATACACATAAACAGCAGTATATATATACACGTACTAACCTTTATTGTATTTATATTTCCAAGATTCTGTTTATTTGGTTCAATTCTTTGTCATCATGACCATGGTTCTTGTATATATATGCAAGGTGAGTTCCATTATCCCACAGCATTGGGGTTGTAGCTCAATGAATTTTTTTTCCTTAGTAAATCATGATTACTCTTGGAGAGCTCGGATGATGAAAATGCCTCAACTAGCATTTCAACAAAAAAAATGACAATGATCCAAGTGCTAAAGCAACCGAGAGGCCAATGGTCCATGTTTAAAATTTGCCCCCAACAACTTTGAAAATTGTGGGTTTGAACCTGAGGGTAATCATTTTGTGCAAATAATGCCAAAGGCTAGTCTGTACCCAATCTACCCCTACTAATGGTGACTACACCGGATGTTATTTTTCATTTAAGTGGTTGCACTGTGATTGCAATCAGATAAAGAATTTGGAGGTTGATGAACTGGGTTTGAGGTTTTCTGACCACCTGAAATTGAGGGTGATGACTAGGGATTTTCAAAATGGATGATGATTTGTGAGATTTTAATAATTGGATTGGATTTGCAGATAGGCCAATTTTAATAAATCAGCATTATATCAAGTGAATGTACCATCATAACCAATAAAATTAAGAGCAAAATTGGTACTAGGAAAAAAATCTTTGATGACGTCACCATTTTTAATGGTGTCTGACAGTGTGGGAGGTATTTTTTTTTTTTTTGGGGGGGAGAAGGGGGTTTGAACCCTTGATCACAAGAAAGCAAATCATTCACATGGTAAGGAATACCATTAGCCAATAGATACATAGAATGTGAGTGCATTAATATTGCCAGCAGTTCAAGGGGTGTAGCCAAAGACAGTATTTGCAAACACATCCCCAAAAGGATTCAAGAAGAGATGAGATTTTTAGTTCAGGCCAAAAAAAAACTTACATGGAAGGGAGGAGCATAACTTCCACGAATTTCAGTGGTAGGAAAAGAAGTCTTTGAACCTGGCTTCACAACCTTGACTCTTTTTCTATTAACTTCCAGAATTCTTCTCTCAAGGCTGCCCACTCCAGGGATCTGAAATATGGATAAGAGTAAGATACTGGTAAAAAAAATTTCTCTATCTTTGCATGATATGATAAACACAAACAAATAAATGAGCATGGAATCTTAAAAGGAAGATAACTACCTTTTTGGGAGAACGGTCCTTGTCGCACAGGGCCTGTTTCCAAAAAGCCAAGTTGTGAGTTTATTGATGAAAAAAACATGTGCGCTATGGAACTGCATTTTGAGTGCTAACGAAAGGTAGGCAAAAAGGTGTTGGACATGATTGAAATTATTGTGCACAAATAATGCGTCCAAATCAAAAAAGAAAAGAAATTTTGAATATAAATAAGAATAGAAGAAATTTATTCATGAGCTTCATTTGTCACAAGAAATCTAGATAACTTGAAATTGAAACCTACAGCATGCAACAAATGAATTGCCCAAGAGAATGTGGTCACTGAAGCAGAGTTTCAAATGCCAACTCATTCCTTATATAAAGGAGTTTAGCTCTCGTACATTGTCAATTTCTAGTTTCATCAGCCTCCCAGAGGTGTGAGACAATAAGCTGCCAAGACTCTCCTCTTGATTTAGCCTCACAACCCAGTGGAAAAAGACGTAATGAAATCTCACTTCCTCACAATGAATGCGTGCTCAGCTATAACTTTTTTCCAACTTGTTAAAAAAACCAAGAATTTCAATCGGCTAATCAACGGTTTCAGACCATGCATTTGGATTTTAGTTTGATAGATATGTAAATTCGACTTCACATTCTGATGAATTTCACCAAAGGAATTGGAAGAAGTTGAGGTCTTTGATAAAAAATGTTCAGCTCATTCCAGGGCAGGTTAAGCTTACTGGGTAACTGGTTTCCTATCAAAAATTCACGCAGAGGACAATATGTTTATACTTGTGCCAAGCCACTAGAAAAATACTGATCATGCACACGCAGGCCTGTGGGCAACATTAATATCATAATTCAATGCAAATAGCCTCCATGTAGTACAGAAACTAATGAGTTAGAGCAAACTCATGCAAACTTGTGTACATGTGCAGGTCTGTATATATATTTTAGGCTATCAAAGCAGAGAGCATGGTGAAATGGACGTTCAACCTTGAGGTCAGAGAGTTCAATCCTGATGTGCACAAATGTATACTCCATTCCTATATTAGTATTACATGGCTCAGAAATGGCCAGCTGAGTACCTTCATCCCTATATTAGAGTCCAAATTACCTTTTTGGTGTGTTGCAAAACTTGAAAAGCAAAGTACTTTTTGCATGAAATCTTCCCAATAAATCCTGTTTTTAATTTTTTGAGCAGTTTCAAAAAGTGAAATTTTAAATTTAGCGGGGAAGGGTGGGGGGTGGATTATTGGAAAATAAAGATTTTCCACAACATAACACATTATATAATGTTCCTCCAAAAGTTGGGAGTCCAAAAACTACGGGACAGAGAGCATATATATGGTATTGCAAGACAAAAACAACAAACTAAAAAAGATGAGAAGAAAAGAAAAGAAAATTTTCCTCAACTGAAACCCAGACCTTGCACCTTCCCCTTAAGAAATGAGCAAGAGTACCGCGAGGTAGACACAGTTTCATAATGCAAACTTTTCTCCATTCAGTAAATGACAAGCAACCAGGCTGGGACCTTGTCTATTTGGTTCATTAGATCGTTAAGCACACCCATTCACTGAAATCATCCCTAATAAAAAAGGGTTATATTTTGGTCACCCATTTTATACTGTTCATGAAAGGTTTTTATGGCTAATGTGAGCAATAGATCTAATAATTAAATGATAAACATCATGTGACAATTATAGCACCTCTTTCTCTCAAGATCCATTATTGAACATCTCAAATGAATAGAAGCGATATATTAGTTCATGTAGCAACCTGAATATTTATGAACTGCACAGGAAAGAAAGCTCAGACATAGCCATATCTAACTGCAAATAGTCAAAAAATAATTGAAATAAGAAATCCAATCACACCTCAAACTTAACAGATCCAAGATCAAGCTTCTGCTTCACTTCTTTGAGAACATCAGGCTCTGAAAAGATAAATGCCAAATCAATTGCATAAGCAGAACAGGAATCAAGAAGCAAGATAACAACAAAAATTTACACAAAAATGCAATAGATAAATTCTGAAAATGAGAACATCTTCTTCCCCTGAACCTACATATAAGTAAATTTAGGTAAAAAAAAATGCAGCATAAAAGATAAGCAAGGAGGGCTAACATATTAACAGATTCATGTGCTGTCTCAGTTATAAGCTCAGCCTAAAGGCCCAGATCAAACTTAGTTCGACACATCCCCTCTATTTCCTATAGATCTAGAACAATAAGATTTTAGACTATTGAGACTGATTAAATGGTTTTCTAGAAACCCTCCTCCCACTCCAAAAAGTAAAACATAAAAAAACTAATGCCAAGGATAGTTAGGATATGGTCAAAGTGCATTGTTCTACGACAGGGAAGGCCATTTCCATGAGGTGCCAAAGCTTTGATATGCACAGTTTTGAGCAAAACAATAGCCACCAGAAAGCTTCCCCTATGAGAATTGACCATGGCAGTGAACGTTCTACTTTAGTTGTATCCCAGAATGGATCTGTTGGTTCTCGGGCAGGTCGTGGTGGTAGAGGTAGTCATGGAAGTCGTGATGGCTCTTGTGGCTGTTGTGGAAGCTGTGATGGTAGAGGTGGTTGTGACATTCGCAAATAGTAATACTCATACTGTGGGTTTTTGTTGTGAGTTGCATGGTAAGGAATCTGTACCGGCTCATCAGGTTTCTTATCAGGGAGATGCCTCTCCCTCTACCATCTTTCGGACTCGCTCAGCCTCCTTTTGCTAATTTCATTACTATCTCTAGTGATGACCATGCACAATTCATGTCTCACCCCTTCTAGTGTCTTGGACATCCACCCCTTCTAGTTTTGAAGTCTCAAGTTTCTAGTCTTAGTCATGAATCATCTTTGTCTTCTGAAACTTGTCAACCAGATAAGCACCATTGTGTGTCGTTCAACTCTATCATTGATAATCGTGTCTCTAACCTTTTTGAATTAATTCACTCTAATGTATGGGGTCCCCCCAACTATGAATGAATTTTGTTATTTTGTGACATTTGTAGATGATCATTCTCACATGACTTGATTATTTTTAATGAAATCTTGGTCAGAATAATTTTATACCTTTCAGCTATTTCGTAAGCAAATTAAGACAATTTGGTTGAAACATAAATGTTTATTGTCTGATAATGCAAAAGAGTACACACTCCAATCCTTTTAAGGCTTATTATGAACTCAAAGAATCGTCATTTATTAGATGTGACACGAGCACTATTTTTTATATGCATTTTCGTAACTGGTTTTGGGGTGATACTGTATTGGCTACTTGTTATCTTATTAATCAGACGTTTTCAACTGTTTTACGAGGAACATCTCCTAATTTTGTCTTATTCCCTAATTCTCCATTGTTTTCTCTTCCTCCAAAAGTGTTTGGATGTGACTTGTGCATTCACAATCTTGGTTCTGGTTTTCATAAACTTGACCCTTGGACTATTAAGTGCATCTTTCTTGGTTATTCTCGTATTCAATTGTGATGTTGCCTTTTGAGAGTCTACACTTTATTTTTCTGCTCCCTTTGTTCCTTTCAAGGGTACTATTGAGTCACCTCCCTCGTCTGACCCGCTTTTGCTTCTATCTAGTTCCCTTATCTTCTCCTCAGTCGTCACCAACCCCGAGTTTATAGCCTACCACATTTTTCCATGTTTACAACAGTCGGTAGAGGCCACTTATTTTAGCTCCATCACAAGCTTACTCGCCGTCTTTGGATCCAACCACTTCAAATGTGTCAGATTTTCTACCTATTGTTCTTCATAAAAGTACTCGTTCTTGTGTTACTAATTTATCACTAACTTTGTTTCTTCTCATTTGTTATCTCCTACATTTTCCTATTTTACTTCTCAATTATCCGATATATATGTTCCTAAGTCCTTAGTAAATGCCTTGTCTAATCTGAGTTAGAGACCAACTATGGAGGAACAGATGAATGCTCTCCAACACAATAACACTTGGAACCTTGCCTCGTTACTCTGCCAGGTAAGTAGATTGGTGAGTTCCATTGGATGTATACCATCAAATTTCTTTCGAATGGTTACGCGGATCACCTCAAAGCTCATTTGTTTGCGAAAGAATATACCCAAACATATGATGTTGACTATGTGAATCTCTTTGGTCAGGGTGTAGATTTTCTATTGTTGCTAATCTTGAGTGAACCTTATTCTAGTTAGATATCAAGAATGTTTTTCCAAAGAAGTTTACATTGAACACATGGTTCAACGTCGCAATATCAGAACACATCGGTCATGGTGATATGGCATGATACCAGCCAATACACACATAATGCTAGATATAAGAGTCCAAATATTTTGAAAAAATCATGATTTTTTTTTAAATAAAAGCAATAACATTCATGCATCACATATCCAATATATTAGCATTTAGTTTTTAAATTTTTTTGTTTGAGCCAAAATTTTGTTGCATTTAAAATAGTAAAAATATAAATATTTACTTCAATAGTACTCCATTTTTGCTTTTTTTTTTTGCATTTAAAATTATAAAACATGTAAATATTTATCCATAATTATAAAGCTACATCTAAATGTAATGTGATTCAATATCTAATCTGAGATTAAATTTAAAGGCGTAAAAAACACAGATAATTTAGCAATTATAACACAAAATAATCACAGTATTTTAACCCAATTAAAAATAACCAAGGACACGTGCCCAAAAAAAAAAAATTAAAGTCTATATTTAAAGCACCGACTAGGGCACTATTGGCATCTGTTAGACAGTTCAACTACACCAAAGGAGAAAGAAACGAATGAAAAATTGTGGGAGAAAATCAGAGAAAGCTATGATCGATGTCTCTATTCCTCAACTGTGTGTTACGCGCTAGCAAAGAGGAAGAAGCAGCTTTCGCAAGCATGGCATTGACTCATATCAATTTAGGGTTCAAAATTACAGATTTGCAAGTGGCTTTTGCTCTAGGTCTCTGGTTTTTGCGCTCTTTCCGGCCAATCTTTGTATTTTTTGGCTATTTCTGCTAAGCTGAATGAAATATTTCTTGTGGGTCTCATCTTTTCTTCTCTATTTCTCTTTTGCTTTTAATTTTGTTTTTGTCTAAGTATTTGGGAATTTTGAAGAAGATTACACTCTGTTCAAAAATAAAAAAGAGATTATACCCTATCAGGATGATTCTAATTGGACTCGGAGTTATACCAAGTTGACTCTGATTTATACCAATACGACTGAGTTATAACAGAGTCAACATTAATTCAGGTGAGACTTGGGATATTTGTATATCGTGTATCGATCGGCTCAGTGGTGGCCGAGTCGTATTGGACTCGGCCGATACTTAGATCCCAGATAAAGCAACCACCTGAGTTTGTTGCGCAAGGGGAGTACATGGTTCAGAGTTGTGATATCGGTCACCGACTTGGAGGGCACTAATACACATCAGTTGAGGCGCGGTTGCAACCGATACACTTAAAACACTAGATACAAAACCTAAAATAAATTGAATAAATCATGAAAAATCCTACAAAATGTAAACACCCCTCATCCGTGCATCATATCCCAAAAATGCATTATTTAACCCATTAAGCCCAATAAAAAGGAATTATAAGAGCGCTGCTAAAAATACTTATCATCGTCTATGTATATAATGCAACCATTTAAGATCATATAAGCCATAATTATTGACAAATTGAATGGCTATGAAGCTCGAAATCATAATTATTGTCTCCATCAAAATTATACAAGTTTGGTACGTAATTCCCACTATGGCACTAGATGGGTAAAGATACAAATATGAATGTTGGTCTAATTGTATCGGTTGAGATAATTGGTTAAAATCATAAATATTATATAGTGAAAATATAATAACTCCGTCAGTGTTGTATTCAACACTGCCTGTCCCACACCAAGATAAAGGAGGAGGGTTGTGTTAGGTAACCGACAGCCAACGTAAATTTTTTTCGGATCCACTATGATGAATCCAAACAATAATATATGGGTTAATGCTAGGTCGTTCCCCATAAGTGATGCGTTGTGCCTGCCTCGGGGCGTTTCGAAAAATCAATCAGGGGCGTTACTCCTGCCTTGGGACGTTTCAACAAATAAGTTAAGGGCGCCGCATCAACGCCTGGGTGCGGTGATAAATTAACAAGGATCTCCACGCTATGGACATACGTGGGAGGTAAGGAAGCTAGTCCACGATGATAGACTTAAATTAACATCATTGAACATAGGTACACTCACCGGCAAAACAATAAAATTAGTAGACACTATGAGCAGAAGAAAAATTAGTATAGCATCCTTACAAGAAACTAAGTGGGTAGGTGAGAACGCAATGGAGATAAAAATACAGGATTTAAGATTTACTATACAGAAAATAATAGACAAATAAATAGAGTAAGAATAGTTGTAAATAAAGGCCTAAAAGATAGCGTAGTAACAATTACAAGGAAAGAAACTAAGATTATATCTATCAAACTTGTAGTCGGAGAGAATATAATTAATGTGATTAGTGCTTATGCACCTCAAGTAGGGTTAGAAAAACATATTAAAAAGTAATTTTGGGAGCAAATAGATGAATTAGTTCAATATATACCTATAGGAGAAAAGATAATCATAGGTGAAAATTTCAATGGACATGTAGCAAAAGATAGGACACAATATGAGAGGAGTCATGGGGGTTATGGATATGGTGATCGAAAGGAAGCCTGAGAGAGTATTTTAGAGTTTACAATGATATATGACCTTGCAGTAGCAAACACCTTGTTTAAAAAACGAGAAGAACATCTAATAACCTTGAAGAGCGGACCAAATAAAAGTCAAGTAGACTACTTCTTAAGTAGAAGAACGAACCGATTAGTATGTAAAGATTGTAAGGATATCCCGGAAGAAAGCTTAACATCTCAACATAGGTTAACAATCCTAGATTTATAAGTTAAATGGCAACACAGAGTAAGGAGAAGTATTAGAAAAACAAGAACGAGATAATGAAATCTAAAAGATGAGAAACTAGTACTATTTAGGAGTAAAATGCTTAAAGAGACCTTATGAAACCTAGCAGATGAGACTAACATTACGTGGAGTAAGATAACGAAAGACATTAGAAAAATTTCGAGAGAGATTCTTGAAGAGTCAAAGGGTGGAGAGCTTGTGGGAAAAGAAATTTGGTGGTGAAATGACGCCGTATAAGAGGCAATTAAAGCAAATAAAGAATCCTTTAAGAGATAACAAAATAATAGAAATAGAGAGAACTTCCAAATATATAAATTAGCTAACAAGAAGGTTAAAATATAATTAGAGACGCTAAGTTAAAAGCCTATGACGAGTTATACAAAAAACTTGATAGTAAAGAGGAAGAAAAAGGCATCTACAAACTAGCTAAAATTAGAGAAAGGAAAACAAGAGAATTTAACCAAGTTAAATGAATCAAGGGCAAGGACTCAAAAATTTTAGTTAAAGATGAGGAAATAAATGATCGGCGGAAAGGCT